TACCATAATATGTTGTATCAGTTGATCTCAAAACCCCTGTGATTCCTTTTCATTCATACTATGGATGAATAAACTGAAGTTTGTGGAGGCTAAGTAATTTGCCTGAAGTCAGTACAATATCTGATGGAGCTAATATTTTAATCCTGGATTTCTATCCTACTTCACTGCTTATTCATCTATACCATATACTGTTGTTGAATCATATACAAGAAATAGGACAAGATACTCGGACATGTGCTCTTGGGAAGAACGGGACACTGGGACAAGAAAAGTGTTGAGAATGTTACTAGATGAGAATATGGGGTAATCAGTGGAATTTAAGTATAGATATGGTTAAGTACATGGGTTACTTTTTGTTTTTTTAAGCCTCTTCATGATGATGTCTTACAGTTCTTAGAAAGATGGGTTAGATGAGTTCTGGAGAATCTTCTTAGCCAACTCTGTCATGGAAAACTGGAGCCTAGTCTTAATAGAGACCTGTTCTGCAGAACTTTGGAATTGGATTTTAGCATTCTGTTTCTTTGGAGAATGGGATGATGTAATGAGAATATTAATAATTTTTTATAAAACTTAAATTTGGGTAACACTTTAGCTTTTAATTTCTTTAATTGACAGTAATCTTGAGAAACAAGCCAAATATTATCCTTAGTTTTGAGAAAACTAAACCCAAGGCCTTTTGATAAAGACATAAGTAATAGTTACTGTAAGTTTACTCTGTATACTAGCTTTTAATTCTGTTAAGTCATGATAAATTATTTTCTCTTTGAGGTTTGCATTATACTAAGTGGTAGAGGCCGGATTTGAACTGAGGTCCAATGTTAGTGTTCCAGACCTCAGTCAGTTGTTTGTGCCACTTCCTTCCTAGAGTCCTGATTGGGAATAATCCAATTTCTGGCTAGCTTTTTTACTTTTAAAGTAAAAGAATCACAAAGTATTATATTCTATTTAGAGGATCTTTTGAAAACCCTTCTGCCCTATGGGATAGGGAGATTTGAGACATCTCTCCCCTATTTGGACTATTTTCCTCACTGGTGTTTATTAAGTAAAATACTTGAAACTAAGTGATACACTAAATAGCTAGCAGATATTCCGAACAGTTGAGTACAGAAAATTTAATTCTTGGGGAAGAATTTCCTAAAGTCCTAGGTCTTAAGGGCTTATCTCCCTTATTTATGTTGCTTTAACAAATATTGGTTTTCTTTTGTATTTATTGAATAGGGTCTTCTGTTCCCTAGTTTTAGAAATGGACAGATAGAACATTTATGAGTTGTTTTCTGTTTAAAAAAGAAATCCTAAATTAAACTGCTCTTTTATTCTCAATTTTTAAAATAGGGGTGTGAGTACCTCTCAAAAGATTAAGGATTTTTTCACTTCAGTTTGTTTCAGCCTTTGAGAAACCAAAATAAACTCTGAAGATACCTATAATTTTTATTCAGTAAATAGATTTTTCCTTATTCAAGTGTTGCATTTTTAGTATTTACTGTTGTAATTAGATAATCTTCAAAATATATTTCTGACTTAAAGCCATGTTTATATTTTAAATTTTCAATGACTATATATAATCACATGGAAGATGTAGCCTTGTATGATTAAGTAATTAAAATTATACATTATTATTAAAAGGAGAAAAAAGGTAGTATGTATTACATTTGTATTTTTCACATACATCTTTCTGTCTTTATCACATCTCTTTGGATTAAGTAGTAATAGTCTATTTTTCTGTCTCTTTATCTTGGGGTTTCAACCCAAGTCTGACTTCAAAGTCCATCTTCTCTCCTACTCTCCTACACTGCAGAGAAATAGAGAATGTGAAACTGAATATGTAGTTGCATATACTGGCATAAAACTAGTTATCATCCATTGTTTCTTCCCTATCCTTTTTTTTCAGAATCCAGATTATCTTCAGTATTCTATCAATACGGCTCTCTGCAGTTTAAACTCAGTGGTACATAAAGATGATGAAGAACCCAAAATGATGGACACTGTATAATTTGGTTAAGACTGCTGAGGCCAAGTACTATTTTGTTACAAGAAAGGAAGAACTTGGCTATTTTCTTGACACTTTTATGGGTGCTGCACTTTATTTTTGTTCAGTTTTTGATGGGAGGGGGAAAAAAGAGTACTGAAATGTTTTGTAAAAATTTTTTTTATGTGCTGCTAGATTTTTTTGTTTTGTTTTTTTCTGAAGGGAGGAGTGGTACCATATGTTGCAAGAAGTCAAACTGGACTTTGTTTTTTTTTTTGCTACTAAATTTGCCTTTAATCTTATTGTTCTGTTTTGGAATCAAAGTATGAAAATCTGCACAAATGCAATGTTTACAAGAACTGGTTGATTCTAGGAGGCATCTGCTACAGTCTCTTTTTATATGGATGTATACATGCCCTACTCTACAAAAACGATTAAAGATAAAAATGTCCTTGTATCCTGCTAATTTAGCTGTGAAATCTGGTGTTTTATCATATTAAAAGCAATAAATCAGTAGTGGTAATCTACTTTACTAAATAAGCTGGGTGATACAAATGAAAACAAAGTCTTTCCCCTTAAAATAATATTACATTTATATTTTCGGCACCATCAGTTAAATTCTTGACTAGAATGCCAAAATAGACAATAAACCCCTTATGTATTCTCAAAACTGTATTCCTTAGAAGTTGATTTTACCCTGTTGACTTTATAATAGTAAGGTATATAGTAATTTAAAAAGTGATAAAACTAATATAGAGGTTTTTTGTTTTGTTTTTTAATAAGATCAACTTCAAGCTCACTCTTAATTTTTTTACTTGACATAGTCTGGGATCTCTCAGGGAGCAAGTTTTAAAAGAATACTAATGGCCTGTAAGAACAAACAGGAATAATCATCTGATTTTTTAAATTAGGTTTATTGTTTGTTTCACTCTGATGTAGCTCAAGGACTTTTTTAAAAGGCAAGAGAAATCTTGTAGAGCTAACTGCCTCAAGCTGCCAACTACTTCTGAGAATTGGGTATTCCTTATGGGTAATGATGGCTTTTACTGCATTTGTCATTTCTCTCTATAGGTCAGTTACTGTAGAATGCTGCTGAGCTTTACTACTTCCTATACAATTAACTTCAAATATGCCAGGATATTTGATGATTCATTTTATTTGAAATTAAGTGACAGTGCTAATTATGCTATCATTATTTGAGGATTTATCTTCTGACTTATAGGAACATGAGCTTTGATTTATGTTGGGTATAGTCTTTGGTTCAGTCCCATTGAGACTAGTAGCAAACATATTTGGAAGATGACTAACTGGGATTAGGTAAACATGTCTCAACTTGAAAAACCAAATATTGCTAAGGAACCCATGATGACTAGACCTGTAACCATGGCCTCATTTGCACCTTGTTTTTACTAACTGAGGTGATAAGGCACTTAGTATAATACCCATAGAAATGGACTGGAATTACTGAATCGTACTTATGTAACATCACAATCTTACTGGTTTTCCGAATAAAACTTTTGTGCTTTTGATATAAAGATATACTCTATATAATAAAATGTTTGATGGTAGTATTCATCAGCCTGTAATTATTTTTATTTTACCAGTGACCTAGTTACAGAAGTTTTTTGTTTTTTCTTGTTCTGGAGCAAGCTCTTATTTTTCCCTTCCTATCAAATAGAGAAGAATGTCCACAGGAGTAACATCCCCAATTTTACATAATTGATACTTGAACCATTATTTTCCATTCTTTAACTTCACTTTCCCTCAGGCTTGCCTATAAGCACCCAGATTGTTCTGAATTTCATTTTGCCTTAAATTAGAGGTAATGACTATAGACCGAAAAGCAGAAAAATTATCAAAGAACTGAGAAAACAATTCTTGAAGGGCTTTTTGTTTTCTAGAACAGGTATTATTGAAGAGCTTTTTAAAAGCTATATATATATACATATATATACACATACATATTTTTACTTTCAAAGGAAAATGTGTTCTGAGTGTGAAAGTGATTGGATTTATTTAGGAGCCATTGACTGATGCCATAATTTGCATTTAAGGCTAATTTTTACATATTGAACAGCAAATTGACATCCTTTTCATTTTTCTTTAGTAGTAAGAACTAGGTCCTATTAAGAGAAATGTCCTCTTTTCTGTTTCTTAAGAAATAATAAGAGTATACTAAGCAAAGGGAAAAGTCATATTTCAGGTTGTGAAGTTTTCTCTAGATACAAACCATGGAAAGGTCAAGCAGATGAGTGAAACATCTTTGACATCAAAGTATCCATCAAGGATTCTTGTTTCATTTGATAAAATTAATATTATAATAGATTTTTAAAAATCAGTTATCACTCCATTTATTCCCTGTTAACTTTCATTTTATCAGTGGTAGTGGAAATAAAACTGATTTTCAATTCTCTAGGAGAGACATTTTCATCCAATTATACCATTAGTATCCAATTACATCATTAGTGGCCTCTTTCAAATTTTGCCTAATGACCTTATGATCTATACCTTGTTTTTAGGAAAATTGGGTCTCCTTTTATATTAGCATTCCTATTACCCTTTTAAAAGTGAATTAACATGCTGCCCAAAGAACATGAATCCAGTAAGTGGATTTTCTTACACAATGAAAAATTGATTGTAGGTTCAGACCAAGTGATCCTGAAGTTAACCTTGAGGTATTTTCAGAGAAAAATAAAAAGATGTCAGTTTACTGTCCTCAAAGTCAGTCATGTATCTCAGTTCTTAAATTGATGTGGGACAGAAATGTACTTGTCTGGGGTACAGCCAGGCTCCTTAACTTCTTTCAGGGGTAGAGGGCATTTTAATTTCAATTTTGCCTCTTTATCATACATGTTTTATTAAGTCCCTGAAATTCTATGCATCCATTTCCCATTTATAATGGGCAGGTATGTACTGTTTACAGGTTTAAGAAGCTTATTCACTTAACACCTTGCTAATTGGCTATTTTGAGCCAGAACTGCTCTGTGTGGCTGGCTACTTTTCCACACTTGAATATTAAATGAAAGCATCTGAATAAACTTAAATGTACTTTATTTTGTTATATCTTATATTTACATTACCATAAGTCAAAATTAAACAAATTGCTCATCAAGTCTCTGGAAATACTGACGGATGAGTTGAGAAAACGAACACATAATAAAGAGGAAAACCAGTGCCAAGCAGTGAAGTGGCTCTATCTCCCACCTCTTATAATCTGAGCCTAAACAAAGATAACCAAGAAAACAGTCTAGAGTGCCCTTTTAAAACTCTACATTGCTTTCAGACCTTAAAATTACTTAAATTAATGTAAGTGCAGACACGACTTATCTCATGACCCATCAACAATGTTTGGGAATGGAAACACGAGTTGACTCGTGACCGGTCAGCAACGTTCGGACACAGAAACACGAGTACACTCGTGACTGGTCAGCAAGGTGTAAGTATTTGCTTGCTTACTATGTAAGCTAATGGAGGGGATACAAAGATGAATAAACGCTGATTATGAATTGCTTACTATCTGATATGTCACAACCATTCTCATAAGCCTTAAAGAATTAGACTTGAAGTTTGATCTTTTCTAAATAGGAAAATGATAAAAATTCCCACATCTTTCATTTGTTTCTTTAAACAGCATGATTCTTCATACTATTTACTCTTCAAACATTTATTTAGAGTCCTTTGGTGAAATATGACACATCACCAGATTGATTTACACTTTGGTAAAATCCTTCCAAAGTGCAGTCTGGCAACTACAGTTTAACTTTACTTGGTGCTATATATATAGAAAAAAACATGACCTTTAGTGAACTTAAAAAGAAAAAAGAAAAAAAGGCAGTCTACGTAGAGTAGGGTAAGAACACTGCAATGCACACTGGCTTTTCCCAAAAGCTTTAAGCACAGCCAGACTTTATTTTGATTGTGTTTTAAATTTTTTAAACTCTAACTTCCAAAATCAGAATCTTAGATTGTGAAAACAGTAAAGCTATTTCTGCAGTTTACTAGCATCTGGGAATATTTTCTTATGTCAATGAGAAGACAATTTATAAACATGTTTTAAAATACAAATTTATTCTTGCTGTTGGTTGCAAGTATTACAACAATTTAATCTGAGGTCTGTAATTACCATAATTTGTTATTAACATAGGTAAGTTTTGTCTCAAACTATGAGTATCTAAAATATTTTTCTTTGCTGGAATGCCATTGTAAATAGCCAGAGGGAAAGTAGGTATGGGCTGGAGTTTAGAAATTTAAGCCAGTATTTAACATATTTCAAATGGAATTGAGGAATAAAATTTCTGATGGTACTAACTGCCGATTTCCATTTCCCACAACACTGCTTATGTAAGGTGCACCAAAATAACTATGGTATTTCAGAAAATAGGGTAATGGGGTTAAGTACTGTTCTCATTAGACTTACTAAGACAGACTAGCTTCTAGCCATGGCATTCAGCTCCAGACATATTTCCATGTGGCACATAAACCATAATGTCATTACAGCATTATTACTATTATTTTTTTAGCAGACACACATCTCAGCAATGAATAATCTTCATCAGAACTGTCTATGACATTAACTCAGCAGAAAACAAGTTCTTCTAGGTTGCTTTAATAAAGAAAAAAGCAAAAGTGCAGGTGTTTCCCAAAGTAATGGATGGATGTGCAAACTTTGGGTTAAGTGTTTTTGGGGTGAGGAGAGAATGGTCACAGGGAAGAAGAGACTTAAATTTCACAGCCATGTTCTTCTACCTGATTTTGATTCCAAACTTCCTAATGGTGTCAAAAAGGCCAGTATGGCTGCAATACTATAGCAGGAGATAAAGTATAACATGAAATGAAACCAGCCTGTGTATTGTTTTAAGACAGTTACTACAAACCAGTTACTAATTCAGAAGCCAGTGAGTCATCAGGGCATCAGAATGGAAGGTGGTGGGATGGAGTGAGCCCTGTGAACTATAAGAGGAAAAATGAATATCCACAGTTCTTAATGGAATTGTATTCTATACCTTAACACTAACATATGCCTGATAACCTAATGATAATTCATAAGTTTAGTATTTACAACATTTTTAGAAAGCACATAATATTAACATTCAAATAAGGCATTATAGAAAGTTTTATAAAGAATGGAATGTTTACTGTAACCGTTTTTAAAAGCCTTGGTCCATTTTGAAAAATCAAACAGTTTTTAAAACAAAAGAAAGGGAAAGACTTTTTTCTCCACAAGATACATAAGAACCACTTATTGGTAGTTGCATTTTAAGTGCCTAGAATGAAACGGAACAAATTTTCAAAGGCAGTTAATAACAGCTTGTACAAGGCCTTGTTTCATTTGATTTGGCACCAAGCGAAGTAAGAGTAAATATGCCGGTGGGGAGACAGTCAGGTTTCTCCACTTCGCATACTGCTCCACTCTTTCTGCCCGGCCACACAGTACATAAGCATGAGCATGCATCCCCCTGCCCCGCTACGGAATCCAGTCATACTGACTTTAAAACGCTGCTCAGGTTACGTTCACCAGCAGAGTTCTTTATACGTAAGGTAGGACAGCAGTGAACGCCAGCAGGTGGCAACTGCTTTGATTAGGAATAAACTCCTTCAGCAAACTCCATGAGTCTCCTGGTCCTGGCTTGTAAATCCTTTTCATTGCCATACCTGTTTACTAATTATGACTGCTGTATTTGTTACAGGAATTTTCCGCAGGCAAACCTGATCTATTTCCTAATGACAAAGCATGCTTGCTTCACCTAGTGCCATGGGGTTTTTTATTCTTTTTTTTTTTCTACTTGAAGATGTTACTCATCAAGGCAGATCATACATTTTGATCAAAAAGAGAAACGCAAATAGATCCAAAAGCACATCTCTTAACCCAAGTAACATCTGAAAACATAGGTCTTTACATTTTTCTTTGAAAATTCAATTCCAGTCTTTTTGCAAGACTTATAATGTCAACTTCTAATGTAAATCATATAGGAAAGTACTTTCCTATATGCTAATTATACATTTTTATAGCAAACTGAAAATTCTGAGTAACCTGAAGATACATTTAACAATAAAATAAATACAACATATATGGCTAGCTTATAAATTTCTTAGAGTAGAGGCAGCACTGAATTTGCATCCTGCAACTAATCTGTAAATCCAGTTGTGTTATTTTTTTCCTGGAATTTTATAGACACTCTACCACAAAACCGTGTACCATGGTGCTAGATATGGCTTTTGTTGGCATCAGTCTAAGCTAAAGCCTCTGATAAGATCCTTTTCCCAAATGACATGGAATTTTTTTTTTACTTTTCCAGAAAAATAGGGAAACTTTGTCAACCACTTATTCTTCTGAACAAAAGTTAGATTACTATCAATTGCTCTTTTAATCATGCTCTAAACGATTTTTCAGAAGTTTCGTTAGACCTCTCTGATGTTTTTAAATTGCACACCCATAGAAGATAACTGGATAAAACATACTAGATGATTTCAAAAGACGAATCTTAGTATCTGACTCATTTGGCACATCCTTAATTTCCAGAATAAAATCAGTAGAAATGAAACTAATATAATTTTCAAAGAATTCGTACACGCCCGAGTTAGGACAAGGAGCTTCCAAATGCACCGACCAGGAGCTTCTGCTCATCTTACTAGTTATGCATGCTTTTCTTCATGGAGTAACTGATGATTTCTGGTTTATTTGTGGAACTTTTGTTTGTAGGAAGGCATATACATGGGGCCAGATCTTGTTGGTTTCTGTTCCGGAGAATGTTTCCAACACCCCCTTTTTCCTAAAGGTGACAAAATAAAAACACAAGTCTGAGTCTTCCTCATAAGCTTTTCAAAGTGATTCTTCAAAGATGATCATGTGCACTGAGGGTCTCAGTAAGTATAGTTCCATGTGATCCAGAGAGAAAGGCACTTGGCTGGGCACTGGAAAAACCTGGATTTTGGTTTCAGTTGTGTCCTCTGGCTTACGGGAGTTGTCACTTAAAAAATAATACCACCTATCATTTATCGAGCATGGAATGATGCTTTACATGTAATAGTTCACATAATCCTTTCTAAAGGTCAAGTTCCTTACTTTACTGATAAAACTGTGTGTTATAGATGTAACAGCCAAATCACGAAGGTTCTCAAACATAGGGCCTGCCAGACACCAGTATACCCCTTGGCTTTCTTTGTCTACTACCCATTTGCAAAACAGCTTCCTAACACTTGACTGTGTTTCCTTCCTTTCACCTACATTTATTTTTTCGTGTGAATTTTAGGGGAAGAGGAATACAAGTATTGTTTTTATTGTTTCCTATTGTGTTTCTCCATTTCTCTGCAGGCAGATTTGTCTGACTAGTCACCAGACCAGCAAACAAAGTCTATTTACTCCAGTTTTCTGGGTGGTAAAATGGTGAGAGGACACTCAGAATCCTGGGGTTGCCTTTCAAAACACACAGGTTCCCCCACAGAGACTGATGTTCCTCTGGCTTACCCTCCTCCTCCAAGCAACTCATACACACCGGCTTAGAGGCTGCATAAGAGCAACTGAGGAACTCAGGGGTTTTTTTCCAAAAAATGGGATCGGTCATGCCTCTGCAACCTTCTTAGTAAATTTTCAGAGGTTACGCTAGGGACAAAAGCATTCCTTTTAGATACCTCATAAAATTTGCCACAGTTAAGACTACTGTAAATAATCCCCGCTGTGTTCTTGGTAAGAAACATCTGCTAAGGGGAGACATTATGCAAATATAGTACTTTGCATATTAGAGCCCTCCTGCTTCTAAATTCACAGGCATCTTGTAAAGCTTTCAGGAGAACAAGCTTCTTAACAGCCTTAAGCCTCTAGAAGAGCCACTTTAAAATCAAGCCAGTGTCACAAGTGTGTTAATTACTGAGGACACAACTACAAGCACCTATTCAATCCTAAAGCTGTACTCTGGATAAGCATTTTAACTTTTATGTCATAAAACCACTTCACCTATTGGTCCTCTAAAGAGTAAGAGCAACGCCCAGCCTGCGTGGCTCAGCGGAGCATCGACCTATAGGCCAGGAGATTGTGGTTGGATTCCTGGTCAGGGCACATGCCCAGGTTGCGGGGTTGATCCCTAGGAGGCAGCTGATCAATGACTCTCTCATTATTGATGTTTCTATCTTGTTTTCTACCTCTCTCTGAAATCAATAGATATATATATATATTTTAAAGTGCAAGAGCATCATGTTGTTTGTAAACACAGATTTAATTACGCTATAAATGCCTGCAACTGAAAGAGTTTTAAGAACAGCAATATAGCTGTATTTTAAAATAATGATGTTGACTATCACTAAGGTTGTTGCAAATACCAACTGTGAATTTTTGGTTAAGTCCAGCCCTAGTTCTGTGTGCTGGAATTGGGAAGGGAAAGCTTCAAACAATGACAAGAGGTAGCAAAAGCCAGAGGCCTAGAAAGACTAGGGTACCTCCTAAGATAGGGACCCGGGTCGTATCCTTTATATCTACAGTCTTCCCCAGCTTCCTTTCCCACATTTTGACAGAATTAATCCCTACTTCCATTGCACCTAGTGATTACCTCTAATAGTCTTACAGTGTTATCAGCGCAACAGCAGTGCACTCTCCCTTCTGGTTACTTTTAAGTGAATAACTGCTTCTGGGAAACAACTTCTTCACCAGGAGAAACTGGGTCCACGAGATTCGGGTGGGACTGACCCCACTTCCCAGCTTCAAGGATGGACACAATGAGCTAATCAGTGCCAATTCCAGGACTTCTGCTGGCAAACAGGCTCTCTTTTCTGCTGGGGTAACTGAACTGGTAGGAGGTAAGCACGGTAAACTGGAGTGTTAAGGGACTTACACAGGGAGAGCCCACCTGAGATTGGAGCCAACATAGGACAAGGGAGCTGAGAATGAAGAGGCCTGAGGACACTAAATACCTGGGCCTAGCATCTACCTTTGGACATTTTAGTTACATGACCAATAAATTTCCTTTTGCTTAGACTAGTGTGAATTAGGTTCCTGATTGGTATAAGCACATTTTATGATACATATTGTTTACCCAGCTCTCTGACTCACCCACAGACAAGGCTAATATCTTGGGGTTAGGCAGGGACTGGGCCTACTTATCAATGTGGACCAAGCACAGTGTCAACAGGGTAAATAATAGCTAACACTGAGTGATTTAATAGTGCCAGGGCTGCTCTAAGTCTTTACATGGATTCTCTCACTCAATTCCCTTTATGACCCTATAAAGTAGGTACTATTCAGTATTGCTCTGATTTTACAAATGAAAAATTTGTGGCACAGAGGTTGAGTCCCTTGCCCAGGGCCAAGGTGCTGGCAATCTGCAGAGCCAGGCTCATCATATAAGTCACAAAATTATAGTAATAGCTACTGTAGAAAGTGAACCACCAACTCCCTTATAATTTTACCCTCCAGAAAATAACTATTAAAACAGTCGGCAGACTATTGCTTTAGTTTCACTGCATACTTGCCCTATTACAACAACAATAATAGCTGATAATTATAAAGTGCTAATTACGTGTCCGAAACAATTCTAAGAGTTACGCATATTAACTCAATCTTTCAATGCTCTATTCTAACCCCCATTTTGCAGAGAGAAAACAGGTTAAGGCCAGTTAATAAATGGTGAGCTGGGATTTGCACTTGGTCTGGCTCCAGAGTCTGTGCCCTAACCACACACTGTACTGTCCTAAATCTGTATCATTACTCAGTAAGTGAATGAACAGTGAATGAAGAAAAGGAAAGGGGTTGTGATCAAATCCTCTGTAAGGAGAAGGAAAAGGTAAGAAAACTGGATTGTTTCTTAGCCTGAGTCAAATATTAATTCAGTATAGATCCCATATTTTGTTGTGGAATTCCCTGAAGAGCAGAAAAAACTGTTAGAATATAAGCTTTTAAAGATGATTAGCCAAATAAATGATCTGAGGATTGGTTGCCATTTGAGTCTTCTGTCCTATCGGCAGGGTAGTAGGCATTACTAGGTTTGCCATGCTGGCATTCATTCTAGCCCTTCCTCCACCAGACAGCAGAGTTTGGGTGAAGCTGACCCACTCCCAGCTCCAGGTGTAGACCTATCAGTGTACTCACTCCCATCCCAGTGACTGGCTCAGGAAAGGGCAGTAACCTAGGCCTGCAGCAGTTAGCACAGGGCATTCTCTGACCACAGAGCTGTTCCAGTCGGTTCCATCTGCATGATACTCAGGGCTCTTGTTCACTGGGGAAAGGTGACCCCTCAGCCCTTCATGAAAGGGCTGTTCCTGGCAACTGTCAAAGCCAATACAAAGTTGAGTATCAAAATTCTGATCAAACTGAGGGGTGACTGAAGCCCAGCCTACCCTCAGACTTCTCTATTACATGTGCTAATACATTTCCTTTATTGTCTAAACCAATCTGAATGGGATCCTGTGATGTTTTAGCATTTCAGCTGTAAAGCACGGACGATTGAAAAACACCTTAGTGCTTTAGCATGCAAGAGAAGGTCTGAAAAGCAACAAACTCACTGGTAGTATTCCAAGACTGGCTCTGTTTGAGCTTCATAAGCCTTCAGTCTCTTGGCAACTGTCTCTGGTTTGTCATCCTCACGCTGAATGAGAGGCTCCCCAGTCAGATCATCAATGCCCTAAATGGGAGTTAGAACAGATATCAAACATCTCATTTTTATGAGCAGTTCCATGCAAACACCAAGCACACAAATGTGCTTTTAAATAAATGGAGCCAAATCCAAACCCAGATCATTGNATTTTTAAACAGATAACTTCTCTATGCAAACACCAAGCACACAAATGTGCTTTTAAATAAATGGAGCCAAATCCAAACCCAGATCATTGCAACACAGGGCCATGCAAGCCCAGGGTTGTTTCCACGGTGTCAGTTACTTTTTCCTTAGAGTAAAAGGTTTTCTAAGTAGCCTCTAAACAATTTCATATTGTGGATGAAAAAGGAGTCTTACAGAAAGCAACCTCACAAGGTAGCCTCATCATAAATTCCTAACTTGGCAAATCATAGTGGGTAGTCACGCCCCAGGCATATGGCTTCTTTAGTAAAAGGCTTCTCTTTGCCTGAAGCAAACCCTATCCATTGTTTCTGTGCATCTTGGTTAACACACCTTCGAAATGCCTTTCAGACCCCTCAGAAACCACCCTCAAGAGAGCACATAACCTTGTTACCTATCCTGTAATCCAATCCCTGCCTTGCCGCCTCCCACCTGCTTGTAATCGTCCTTGTGTTCCCTCCTTAATTCCAAATGCATAAAAGAAGCTGCAAACTGCCATTCTAGGGAGCATTTTTCTCAGTCTGGTGGGATCTTGCTTCCAGGCATGTCCTCTGGCTCAAATAAATTTTTATAGAAATTCTCTACAGGTTTGGACGTTCTTATGTCGACCTAAATAAACCAAGGTATCACTAGTCCCTATTGCCCCAACTCCTAACACACCCCCTGGCACACAGCAGAAAAATCAATAAACGCTTTTGAAGGGATAACAAACCCCTGTCAATCCTGGGGACACCTTTACTAACAAACCAACTACACCAAGTAACCTGAGAATGTACCCTTAGGAGTCTGGGTCAGGCAGGACTTCCAAGGTAATAAAATTTCTGTCTGTGAGAGCAAGAGGACTCGGAGGCTGCTGTATATACAGCCAGTTCCACCACCACTCACCACAGTTTTGGGAGGGTTGAATTCGATGTTGTAGACTCTGCCACTGGCTGGATGGATCCAGCGAGCTGTGAGGCGTTGCTTAATGACCTCAAAGGGCACCTTCAGATTAATCACAGTGTCTATCTGGTAAGCTCTATCCAGGGCTTCTGCCTGAGGAAGAGTCCTTGGAAACCCTTTACAAAAAAAAAAAAAAAAAAAAAGAGAGAGAAAGGGAGGGAAGAAGGAAGAGAATTAATTAAAGTTGAGCAATCTGAACAGAAGCAGTACACCAGGAAGCAAATCCCAGCTGTAGGGCAACCGTGATAGTTAATTTCATGTGTCAACTTGATATTTGGTCAAACGTTCTTCTGGGTGTGTCTGTGAGGGTGTTTTTGGATGAATGAGAATTAGCATTGAAATCAGTAGACTGGGTAAAGCAGATTTTTCTCCCTAATGTGGGCAGCCCTCATCCAATCCACTGAAGGTCTGAATAGAAGAAAAGGGCTGACCCTCCCCTGAATAAAGGGGAACTCCTCCTGCCTGACTGCCTTGGAGCTGGGACTCTTTCCTGCCTTCAGACTCAAAGTGAAACAGCTCTTCATGGGGCTGGAGCCTGCTGGAAGTATGCCATCAGCTTTCCTGGATCCCCAGCTTACCAACTCACCCTGAAGACCTTGGGACTGGTCATTCGAGCCCATTCCTTAAAATAAATACCTCTCTCGCTCTTCAGAAACTAAAAGCAACCCATTCCGCCACACCTCTGCCAGCTTACAGCTGACTTTATGTTTCCCTCCAGCCTTCTTTCTTCCGTATATGGTAATCCTTCCTTGTCATAAAGTATTCTCAAAGGAGGGGAAGGAACTAAAATCACATCTCAAGGGAACTTAGGGATCATGCAGTCCCTCCTCCCATGCTGATGGAGAAGCAGGCCTAGGAAAGACAACTGGCCTAAGGTCTCAGGGTGAGCAGTGGCAGAACTTGGGCTCCCTGCCCACCATCCGTGATGTCTCTGTAGCCCGGGAATTGCTCATTCTCCTGCCCACACGCATTCTGGGCAGTAGAAATGCTGCTGATACTTCACTTACCATCCAATAGCCAGTTATACTGAGTGAGGTTTTTTAGTTCATGAAAGGCCAGCCGAGTCATGACATCATCTGGGATGAGCTTCCCTTGTTCAATGAAAGTCTTGGCTAATACACCAATTTCTACAACAGAATGAGGAGGGAAGCAAATCAGCAATTTACATTTGTTTTATCCCATTCCAGGCCCCTGGGAAACAGGTTGCCTAGACCTCTGGCTAGCACACACATATGCAAACATGCATCATCAACTTTATGATAAGAACAGAGGTCACAAAATAATCTATGCCTATTTCAAATTCTCCATTATGTAAAAATATATAATTATGTCAACAGAAAAAAATAGAAAGCTATAGACCAATATGTTAACAGTAATCATCTCTGTGATAGAATTAAGTGATTTTTTTACATATTTGTACTTTTCTGTATTTTCTTTAACATATAGACATTAATCTGAGAGATGAGTGTTTGTAACATATAAAAAGCCATTTTTAATTCTACACCTCCTTTTAAAGTTTGGCCCTTCTTATAATATTATCCAATCAACCACGCCTCATATCTGAATGAGCTCTAAACAATTTGTATGGAAAAAAAATAAAATAAAATAAAATAAATAATTTGACCAGCTATGAAGAACAAAAGAGAGCCTGGCCAACCTGTGGATAAGAGTTGTTTTTAACATATGCCAAGAGAAAGGGCTACAGAGAATTAACCTAGTTCCTGCCAAAAGTACTTTTAGCAAAGTACATAAAACTTTACTCTAAAAACATGTCAAAAGAAAACAAAATAAAACTACCAGAATGACAGGGAAATGAGACAAATGATAGGTTTACACTCAGTCAAGGGCTTTTTATAAAAACTTTTCTCAAATAATACTCAAGTAAACATAGTGGTTACCTCTGGGGGGGGGAACAGGAAGAAAATGATTGGGGGGTTAGAGTGGGTGGCCCCAAAAGTACTGGTTTTCTGCCTGGGGTAAACGGGCATTCATTTTATTCTTCTTCCAACCATACATAAAAACTATAATATCTTCATACATGGGATACTTCACAAGATTATATTGAAAATAAAAAGCTCTCTTGACCACTGGTCCTTCCTCCAGCCACCACCCAATCTCTCTCCTCTTCAGTGAAGCACACCTAGAAAGAATTCCCATCCCACGTCTGTACTCCTCCCCTTCACACTCTGCTTCAAGATAGAATCTCAACTCAAGAACCGTATAAGGGCCCAGGGTCTGGCCTGACTGTATCTCTCCTCCACCTCCCTCCCCACCGTTAAAGGGACCTTCATAGTGAGAACCTTCAACCTCCTAGAAAACCGAAAGTTCCTCTTCTGGAATTCCATGCCGCAGACTTGTCTCTGTTGACACACTTATCACACTGCTGAAACTAGCTTGTTTATGTATTATAGATTGAATTGTGCTCCCCCTCGCCCCAATCCATATGTTGAAGACTTAACTCCCAATGTAGGTGCATTTAGAGGGGGCCTTTAAGGAGACAATTAAGGTTGAATGAGTTCATAAACATGGGACTCTAATCCAATCTGACTAGCGTCCTTATAAGAAGAGGAAGAGACACCAGGAATGTATGCAACAGAGGAAAAGCCATATCAGGACAGTGAGAAGGTGGCCCTTTGCAAGCCAGGAGGAAAAGCTACACCAGAAACCAACCCTGTCAGCACTTTGATCTTGGACTTCTAGCCTCCAAAACTATGAGAAAATAAATTTCTGTTGTTGAAGTCATCTGGTCTGTAGTATTCTATTATGGCAAACTGAGCAGACTAATAACATGGCCACCTGCCCACCTGCCCTCCATGCCTACATTCCAAATGTGAGCACCCCCAGTGAAATATACTTGTCTCTGTATCTCCAGCACCTGGCACACATTTGGTGCTTGATGGATCCATGGATGGACAGATGGAGAAATGAGCTTCCTGGATTCCCCTGGATTCCACCAATGAAAATTTAAAAGGCCTAACTTATTTTGTTAAAAAAAAAAAAAAAAAAAATCTAGCAAAAGTCTACTTGTTTTGAGATGGTATTTATCATNTCTAGCAAAAGTCTACTTTTTTTGAGATGGTATTTATCATTAGGTTCATTTTTTAAAGTGCTCTTTAAACTATTTAAACAAACTTTAGCAACCCATAAAATAACAGAAAAGGGCGAAACAACCCAAATGCCCATAACTCAATGGATAAACAAAATTTAGTACCGTATATCCATTCAATGGAACATTATTCAGCAACAAAAAGGAATGAAGTACCAATACATACTACAACACAGTGAGCCTGGAAAACATTATATGTTAAGAGAAAAATGACAGACATGAAAGACCACATATTGTATGATGCTGTTGGCATGAAATGTTCTAGTAAGAAATGTTCAAGCATGAAATGTTCAAGACAGAAAGTAGATTAGTGTTGCCAGTGGCACAGATTGGGTAAGGTGAGGTGGGAATGTGAGTGACTGCTAACGGATGTGAGGTTTCTTTTGGAGGTAATGAGAATCTTCTAAAATCAATTGTGGTGATGGCTGTGCAACTCTCTGAATAGACTAAAGTCCATTGAATTATAAACCTTAAATGGATAAATTATATGTAAATTATATCTCAATAAAGCTGTTAGAAAAAAGAAATGGGTCAACCCTTATGGAAAGCAATACTGTTAAAGGCACAAAATAGTATGTACAGTTTGCTATCATTTGCGTGAAAAGGAAAAAAAAAACGAAGGAAGATAGGGTAAACAGTTGTATGTGCATGAAATAGCTCTGGATGGTTTTTTTCACTAAATGTTGTTTTATATTTTTTGGAATTCCAAACCAGGTAATGTATTGCCTATTATAAATCAAAATTTTACCATTATAAAAATAATTTGCCCTACGGTCAATATCATTTAATTAGGCACACCTATGCTAGACTGGTGTATATAATAAAAGGTTAGACATACAGAATCTTGGGAGCTTAAGTTAAAATCTTGATTTTAACTTCCCCAATTTATAGATGAGAACATTCAAATAGGTTAGCCATCTAGTCCAGAGTTACAACTTTGAGAAGCACTAAGCTGCAGTACAGTCTCTCAAACTTCGGGCAATACACATGGCAACCTTACAATTTCTGCCATAGCTAAACTATTATTTACAATATACTTTTCTTTAAAGGGGCTCGGCCTTTTAACTTAATAAGTCATCATATTCATGAAATTAAATTACTAGTGATTTTTCAAATACACTTTGAAATAAAATTTTTATTGGTTTTTAACTCTGAATTTTATTTTTACTTAAGATAATATTTTGTTTACCTAAAATTATCTCATGAGTCCTTTTGGCCGGAACTGCCATCTTCCAGTAATTGGCCAAAATGACCAACACAAAGGGAAAGAGGAGAGACACCCACTATATGTTCTCTAGACCTTTTAGAAAACATGGAGTTGTTCCTCTGGCCACATACATGCACATCTACAAGCAAGGTGATATTGTAGACATCCAGGGAATGGGCACTGTTCAAAAAGGAATGCCCCACAAACTGTTCCCATGGCAAAACTGGAAGAGTCTACAATGTCACCCAGTACGTGGTGCGCATCGTTGTGAACAAACAAGTTGAGGGCAAGATTCTTGCCAAGAGAATTAATGCACGTATTGAGCATATTAAGCACTCTCAGAGCCACGGTAGCTTCCTGAAACGTGGGAAGGAAAATGATCAGAAAAAGAAGGAGCCAGAGAGAAAGGTACCTGGGTTCCCTGAAGCATCGGCCCACTCCACCCAGGGAAGTGCACTGTGAGGACTGATGGGAAGGACCTTGAGCTGCGGAAACCATTTCCTATGAATTCATGGCCTGATAAGTGTTAAAAAAAAAAGACCTCTGTACTGATAAAAATGTTTCTCTTAATTGGGTAGAAGTATGGTGTCCCCAAAAATAATTGAAGAAAACTTTGTGTCCTAAAACAATAAAATAATAAAAATTATCTCATGAACCTCAATTTGGGAAATGCTGCATGGGAAGCATAATTTAATTGGCACACAGGAGACCTGGGAGTTCACCTTTGTTCCCCAGTAACTGCTGTTTTTTATTGAGCAAGTTCTTTAACCTCTCCTGAACTCACTTCCCTCATCTTTAAAGGAGAGGGAAGGACTAATAATGCCCAAGGGTCAAACTTCAGTTTCCCGACTCCAGGGTAGGTGCTACTCTAAGCTATTCCAGGTTTGCTACTGTCAACAGGTTGCATGGTGTTTCCAGGGTCTAAATCACATCTGCTGAGATGACTTGAAACTTTAGCTATAAAATGCAGTCAAGGGTATAAAATACCCTCATGAAATGGTGTTTGGAGAGTTAATTGGCACCATCTTTTGTAGCACTATTTGATGGTACCACATTTATAGAAATTCCACACTAGGGAATTTGTTGGAAGGAAATACGCAGAGATGCTGCCAAATGTTCATGTACAAGGCTAGTCATTACAGTATTTATTATAGCAAAGAATGGTTAACAACATAAATGTCCAATAACATGCAAATGTTTAAGTTAATAATTGTGCAGTCTTGATGAAACTAATAAATATTGCTTAATGATGTGTGAACATGCTCACAATAAGTGAGAAAAAAGGTACCTAAGGGATAATTTAGAATATAACAAAATTGCAAACACATAAATGCAACAAGGAAGAAAAGAATATTAAAAAATTTAAAAAAGGTTCATTACAATTAAATCCAGGTAGTGAAATTACAGAGGATTCTCATTTTCTTTTTTCTAGTCTCATGACATGTTTTTCTTCCTTTACAATAAACACACTTTACTCTTAATATCAAGAAACACTAAGCAGTATTTTTTTAAAAAAATGTGTTTTTATTGAGAGAGGAAGGGGGAGAGAGAAAGAAAGAAACATCTATCAGCTGCCTCCTGCCCACCCCCTCCTGGGGATCGAGCCCAAAACCACGCACGTGCTCTGACCAGGAATCACACCGGCCACACCTCTCGGTGCATGGGATGGGATGACGCTCAACCAACTGAGCCACACTGGCAGGGCAAAGCAGTATTTTTTAAATAAAGGATAATATCTCTCTTTTGGCTCTGATCCTGTGGGAGATATCCAATTCATTCATAAATATTTACTGAGAGTATATTCTTAGCGCTGAAATACAAAACATCTGTAATAACAATCTCATGGCACCTCCCTAAACCTCACTTCCGTTTTCCTTCTTAAAGAATTGCCTGTAAAGACTCCAGAAAAAACAGATGCCTGAGGTAAGCTGACATCTTTCCCTGTGATCCTGTCCTCCATCCCCCTAGCCTCTCTTTTCATGGAGTGGAGGCTGAAAGAGGACAGCAAGCATGTTAGGGATGTTAAGGATAAACAAAGAGCACTGTTTCTGAATTTTTTCAAAAGTTTATTCACTTAAAATTTTTTTTTAACATTTTGTGCTTCACAAATTAACATATCTTTAACACAGCTGAAGGTGTAGTCTAACCACATGGTTATGCACACTGCTGACTTACTTTTCAGAGAGTTGCTTAAGGATTCTCTTTACTCCTTTCCAACTGGGTGCAGTGCTGGAGACTGTTGTTACCTAACTACTTCAGTGTGTTGCATCAAGAACACTTAGCAAGTGAGCCAAACAATTTAACCTTTTGAAGAAGTAGAATTAACTACAAAATACTTTATGATTTTTTTTTTAAAGATCAATGTTAGCCATAGCCTGCATGGCTCAGTAGAGTGTCTGCCCGAGGACTGAAGGGTCTCAGGTTCGATTCTGGTCAAGGGCATGCACCTTGGTTGAGGGCTCGATCCCCGGCCCCAGACACCAATCGATGTGTCTCTCACATTGATGTTCTCTCTCTCTCCCCCACTTCCACTCTCTCTGAAAAGCAATGAAAAAAAGGTCTTAGGATAAGGAGTAAATAAATAAATAAGTAAGATCAGTGTTAGAAGAGAAAAATAAAAGCAGTAATTCACCAAAGTAGGGGCTGAACCGAACTCTAAGACACAAACTAATAACACTGGGATGGTTCTTTTCTTCATTTAAATGTCAGTATTTTGAAACAAACAAACAAAAAAACCCACCTGGAAGTAACCTACATGCTCATCAATAAGGGATCTGTTAAATAAATTATAGTAGATACAGCAAATAGATATTTATAGAAACATTAGAAGAATGAAAGGGATTTCTATGTTTTCATGTGGAAAGATATCCCAGATATAAAGTGAAAACACACTGGTGCAGAACACATATACAGTAAGATTACATTTTACATAAAATAAGATATATACAAATGCGTGCTTGTACAAACATCTGCTAAAAGAAAACACAGGACACTGTTCCCCTGGGAAGACTGGGACCGAGGCGGGTCACAAGAGAGCTTTACTTTTATGTACTTCCCTCTTGTTTCCAATTCTTTTTTACCTTGTGCGGGCATTACTTCCGTGATTTTTTTCAATGAGCTTCAAAAGGAGTTCTATTTTGGAAAATAAAGTTCAGCACTTTTGAGGGAAAAACCACCACTTCACCATGATGTTGACTTTTGGAAAACAGCTTTCCTAAGATACAATTTACATAAAATCGACCCATTGTCAAGTGTGCAGTTTGTTGACTGGATTTCGTGCTGAGTTATAAAAATTTACTTGGCATGAGAACAAAACGATCTTTCAGATAACCACGCACAAGAACAGCTTTTGTGTCTAAGAAATCTCTGGGGGCACCGGAGGGCTGAGGGCCCTGCGGCCAACTGTGTGACTGCGACGAGGGCAAACAGGGCCAGGCCTTCGGATCATGGGGGAAAGGTCAGAACCAGAAAACCCCACGGAGGTAACCAAAAAAGAAGCAAGCAAGCAAGCAATAAGAAAAAAAGGAAAAAGAAAAAGCGAGCGCACAATTCTTCAGGTGCCAGGGCACGTGGAGAATGAGCCGCAGCTCGATGGCCTCTTAGGAGCAGCTGCGACCGGGGCTGGACGTGCCTCTCGGAGCCAGAGGCTTTCCTTTAATCTCTGAACTTCGAAAGCGTCCGAACTTCCTAGCTCCCTCCCCGGATAACCCGCCAGAAGCTGTCCGCGGGGTCAGAGGTTTCTGGGAGCAGCCGGGCGCTCGGCAGCGGGGAGCAGATGCTCCACCCGCATCCCCGGCCCCGAGTCCCCGAGACGCGCGCCCCCGCCCCCAAATCCCAGCTCGGCGACCGCGCACCACGCCCCTCCCGCCCGGGCTCCCACCTGTGCCCCGCAGGATGTTGCCTCGGAGCAGATCCCCGCTGGAGAGGTGCTTCAGCTCGAAGTGTTTGACAATGCGGGACGACACGGTGCCCTTGCCGGAGCCCGGCGCCCCCAAGATCACCGCGCGCAGCAGCCGCGTGGACGCCCCCAT